AAGCTACAATCTGCTAAACAAAATATAGTATTTGTAAATAAGTACTAGCTATCTATGATTGCTACCTTTAACATACCTTTATTGATTAACCCTTTATACCCTAACATCAGTAGGCATATTCTCTGTACCATTCTCTATACATTTCCTGAGCTGTTGACAAGGAGAATTTGTTTAAAAATCAAGAGCTTTATAAGTTGTTGATCATTTCCTTGATTCTTGTGACCTTAATGTTTGATTCAGGGGTGATATTGTTGGGAGAAATTAGAGGCTGGCCACTCTTAGGGGTTAAAGGGAAAATATTTTTTCTTTCATTAATGTATTGCAAACTGTACATAACTAGTAAAGCAGATCCTATTTAATGGTTCAGCGATGACCTTTCTACAAGTAACTGGAGTTGAGGCAATGGAAGATATTATTGCATGCTCAGTGTATTGTAGCATGATAGTATTTAAAAGTTTCCTGTTTCTGAATTCCAGCAGTGGATAACTCTTGTATTCCAGCACTGTTATTTTCCAGCCCCTCTCAGATGTTCTCAGTTTCTCAGCAGGAGTTAACTGTTGTATTCCAGAACTGTTAATTTCCAGCCCCACACAGCTGTTCTGAGATTACCAGCAAGGAATACATATTGTTTTCCAGTACTTACTTGTATTTTCCAGCCCCTGCAAGCTATTCTGTCTTTTTTGTTTTCCAGCTGGAGGTAACTGTTATTTCTAAGCACAATTATTTTCTGGCCTCTCTAGGCTGATTGGAGTTTTCCTGCTCAAGTTAACTCTTATTTTCCGTAAAACAGAATAATGTTTTAGGACCCAGGACCCAGGCATGAAGCGAAGAAACCTTCCTTGGAAACCTTGGAAACAAGACAATAATGTTTTTAATTGCTCAGATCAAAACCAAAAAATTTTATTGTTTGTTAAAAATAATGTTAGATAATGTTAAATGTTGTATAATGTTAAAATTATCAAGGCCAACAGTAATTCTGAACACAAAATTTAATAAATTTGACACCTGTGGAGTATGTAGCATCGCTCATGAATGAGACAAGAATGTGCTTTTAAATTTCCATCATACCTGAATAATGTCTGTGTAAAATTTGAGCTCAGATGTAGTACTTTCAACTTATAAATCTACTCCTAGCAAGTGGCCCTGGCAACCTATCTTTACATGTAACTGCCAATAAAATAACCCTCCATCTTTATAAAGATCTAAGTAAGCTTTTAAGGCCTTCCTGTCATTTTTTTAAAGCATGGCCTCGCAAACTTTTTCTTTTAGCTCCACTGATAAAAAAACATTTAGGGAAAGTCAAATAATCAACAAGCACAACTAGTGCTTAAATAATAAGTTGGCAATTGACTGAGACACCATTAGCACCACAATAAAAAAAGCAAGAACCCTCAACTGGCTGAACCTTGCATTATTCAGTTGCATACTATTCTTCCCACATTTCCTAATAAATTAACCTATATTTAGAGGATACCTCTACAACACTGACACTAGGGAAGGTTCTCAGAGAGGTTACCTTTGATACTTTTATAACTATAAAAGTAATAGCTTTCACAGCAGTTTAAAGTGATTTAATTTTTAAAATACAGTTAACTTCTTCACTTATCACACAGCATATCAATTGTAAATAACAAATGTGGAGAGTTACAAATTACTTTCAGTACTTTATAGTGCAAGTAACATGTTCCTTACCATCATTTTTATGTGTTTTATTTCCATTTAGACTCAAGTGGCTGTAACAAAAAAACAAACTCAAATAATTTTACCTCACTTCCTAAAGCAAGAAATCACAAGACTAAACAACAAGTGTAGAAACTTAGACATACTTAGGCTAGAACCCTAATTCAAAAATAAAAAAAAACTACCCCCTGCAAAAAAAAAAAAAAAAAAAAAAAAAATACCACTGTCTTTGGTACCATCCTGGTCCTCCTTTTTTTTTTTTTTTTTTTTTTTTTTTTTTTCTATCAACAACAAAACACATACCATGCTTCTTCTTGATGGGAAGAGTTTCCATAAAAACCCAAATAACCAGAAAGAGTATTGGCAGGATAGATAACCAAATGAGTAGTGGTATTGAACTAAAGCTTGTGGCAATTCACTGACCTGACTATTACACCCTACTCTTTTTTCCCAAGGTCTATGTGAACTAGATTTTGAGCACAGAATGCAATACCTCACCAAACATCTGCTAGGATGACTCACTTAAAAGTGTGCATGATTATCATCTCTTGCTGAGATAGCACACTTCACTTCAGTGTTTTTATTACTACACATATGGGGGCTTTGGTAAGATTGTGGAAAGGAGGGACAACATTTGAGCAGCTGGGAGGGACAAAAATGACAGTGTGGCAGCCATTTATTCCCTCTTGGACTAGGGAATAGTCTAGGGAACCTTTCCTTGGAAATTTAAAAGTTTGGATGTCCAAAAGGGTCCATTTTAGGCCACTATTTCTCAAGTTGGCTAAAAATTATATCTGCTACAAGGGAGAGTGTTGACACTGATTTGATGAATAGAGTAGCTTTTACAGAACGAACTATATAAACATTATACATAGCAATGTTGTATCATAGATGATGTCTGTGTGGTCTTGTTTGATTTTTACCTTTGCCTTGCTCAAAAATATGAAATTGTGTCCTGAACAACATTACATTTTGGGGCACAGTGCTGTGATTTCTGACACAGTATATTTAAAGTGATAACTGATGGTAAAGGAATTAATTGGTACTTCAATGATGAATGTAGAGCACTGCAATCAATGTAAACCATCATACCAAAAAACATGGTGACTGGTTACATTCACCTAGATCTCTTTGCACAAGAAAATCTTGGAACCACTCAAAAATTCAAGCAGAAAAAATCTGAAAAAATTTGAAATTTGCATACATAATGTTGTTGTTTTGTGAAATATTGCTTTCTACATGTGTCTTACCCTAAGAATAGAGGTAAAATGTACAGGCACCATCTTTGTCTGTAAGTGGATTGAATCTATTGGGTAAACACCAGAAAAAATAATAATATTGATACAAATAGGCTGAGGGTTTAGTATAGGTATGCCGTGGTTTAGTTTTATCCTTGGTTTAATTCTTTTACTTTTAATAGAGGCCAAATTGATAGTGACATATCATCTCACCATAACTTAGGCTAGGAGCTAAATTTTATCTTTTTTTTACACAAAATGCATTTTTCATTCATATATCATCCACAAAACCAAAGGAAACTGATTTTTACACCAAGGACAAAAATTAAGCACAACAGATACGTTCTCATAACTAGTGCATAATTTGCTAAGAAAATGTATACAATAGAGCTTACCACCTCATCGGCACTTTTGTTTACTTTGCTTTGCTGATGGTTCTCATCCATGCCTGTATGAATGATATTAAGTATGGGTGAAAGGAATAGTATTTTCTTCACAAAGATAGTTGCAGAGAGTGTCTCCATTGATATATGGATCACCAAACACTCACAATGAATGCCAACAAGACCAAGTTCTTGCTAACAAGTGTAGGAGCAATAATCACTAATAATGGACAATAGTCTGTATTGAATTAAGTATTCATTTGTGCATGAATTAGTATTTTTTTCATTTTAATGTTTGTAACACACAATTGAAAAAGTATGTAAAATGTGGTAATTTAGTTCAAGGGGCTTTCTTCTAAATAGATCAAAAGAAAGAAAGTGGCAATATCAGCCACTGATTTAAATAGAAACGCACATATTATTAAGTGAAGAGTAATTTTGCTGCAAATTTGTGCCCTTCTAGGTGAGCAAAGAGATCGAATGATGACCCAACTGTTACTTGCTGGAGAGCATTAGGAGCCAGCACCCTATCCTTTATAAGAGACCTGACCTTCATCATACGTGTAAGCAGTTTGTAAGTTAACTTTCTAGGATATGTGAAGTTTAACATCGACCATACATCCTATCTGAATTTTTGCGTAGCCCCATACATTTACAATGAATACATGTCTTCCACTGTACCTATAATAGCCATCAGTGTAAACACTATGAGATTGCTACATGTAACATAATACAAATTATTATGAGGCTGGAAGAAAATCACAAGTTTTTGATCATTAAAACACCGAGATCTGTCCTGTTTTTTAATCGTGTAATATCTAGTGTTGCATGTCCCAAACAAAATGAAAAAGTCAGTCCTCGACACATAAGGATTCAATGAACCCAGGTATCATGCAGCTACATGAAATCTACTGGAATTTAGTACAAAACTTGAACGCGATCTTTGAAAAATGGTTGTAATATTTAAAATTGAAAAAAATACTAGCATGAAGTGCAACGAAAACCTTACCTTATTGTACTAGCTCCAACAGAAAAGTAAGGAAAGCCATGAGGCAATGTCAAATGTACCTTTTTCACAGTACTAGCGACTAAATACAGGAATGGCTCCGACCTGTAATTGGATGATAAACACAGTAAAAGATGAAATAACAACGCGAGTGAAAACACCGATCGGCGTTTTCACATTGCTATCTCATCGTTCCGCTTCGAGACACGCGGTTAACAATAGTCACGGGCAACGAGTTAAGATATAACTTATTAACTTTTACTATTTTTATCATCCAATCACAGATCGGAGCCATTCCTGTAATGGCCGCCATCTTGGAATTCGAAAACCTGAGGAAGGCTGGGGAGATGGATAAAGTCTTACCAAGGGGGTGGTGATAGGTTAATATCAACCATGACGGCTCGATCTGGAAATCTGTCAATAGTTCTTGTAAGCTATTAACTAGCACCTCCTAATTAGATTAGATGACAAATACTTCAGAGATATAATGATGAAAATGCGCAGCAACGCTATGAGAATTTTGATTGTTATTTGGCTCGCTGCACTAACACACGTTGTGGCTGAGGTAGACCCGTGTTCGTGCAGGAAGGAGTCGAATCAGGTCATGTCCATTTCTTTTTCCCCATCCCTCCCGTCCCTACCCAGTCTGATGCATTCCTTAGTCCCACTCCATCACAACTCTTCCGGCTTTCTCTTTCTAAGTTCCGCTATGGCTGGCTGCAAGCTGTTACGATATTTTTGTTTGTTCCTTCTTGGATATGTAGGAGCAGTCACTGCTACCTGTGAGAAGAGAGATGACTGTTCTTGTCGCATGAGTGATGGCAAAGTCTTGGACTTGAAGCCACTGGATAAAAACCCAGGTCCCAGGTAAAAGTCCGTCGATCGAACAACTTTCACTTTTTGTACTCTAAAATTTAATAACTTAAAAGAGTATTAAGAGTTAAATGACTGTTCTTGCGCTAGCGTTGCGTCAACCAACAGTTTTGAACAATGGGCAAAGAAATAGGAAGCTGGTCTTATATAATTTTTAAACAGAACAAAACGGGGGAGGGGAGGCTTAACTTAGAGAGGTTACAATGGAAAATGTGTACAGGTATTTATATGGCATGATTTGAGATAGATTAAGTGACATTGTTGCATGCAAAGGACTGCATGCTGGATTGACGAACTTCATGATTCTGTGCATAGAAATCATGGTTTTTATTGCAGTGTTTTAACAACTGTGGCCTACCCCTACCCTAACCTAACCACAATCAACTAACAACAAGTTAGGGGTGATGGTGGTTTAGGGGAAGGGTGGGTGGGCAGTTGCTTGGATAATGGCATTGAAGCTATGATCCCTGTATACTTCAGGTCTCAAATACTTCAAACAAATTACAATTTGCTAGTATTTATGGTCATGATAGGGGGGAGGGGGGGGTATTTGTGTAGAGGTAGAGTGCTGATTTGATTCCAGGGAAGAAATATTACAGGAATGTGAAGTATTACTTGCGGTCCATAACACAAGGTGATCCAAAAAAGTTTTTGGAAGGAAGGCTTCCTAACGTTAATTTGGAAAACACAGAGTTCTTCTTTTGTTTTGTAGGAATTTTCTTATGGAGGGACCCATACCCCCTCCCTTCATTATCTTAAGGTTACATGCCACATCTCATTAGGTCAACTTCTTTCATCATGTGTTTAATGTGTGAACACTGGTCAATGCTTCTGGTTTGCAGTAAAGGGCAAGGGTGTGTTTTACATCTAAGTATGCAATAACTAGTTGCTGCCTACAATATCAAGGAAACAAAAATCAGCCAGTTGAATAGTAGGATGGGATTCTGTCATTGCAAGAATTGTTGTGTCAAATAAGACATGATTTAAACCTACAAATCTTATGGGAGGTGGCTTAGGATCCTTCACACACCACTTCTTCTGGATCTGCCAATGCTGAACTTGGAAAATTCATGGAGCAAAAGTTTGAATTTGTAACTAAGTGGTGTGATGTTTTGTGAATTTGGCTAAAATATGGGGGAAAGATATCATCTTGTTTGACGCTTCACTGGTAGTTATATTTTGTACTATGAAAGGATATTTGCATGTGAATGGACTATAAATCACTAAAGTATATATAATAATGATACAGTGAATTAGGCATGTGTTTTGATTTGTCCTTATTTGAGATCTATCAGAGAACAGACACATAAATGATGTGACCAGTAACAACTTTTTGCTTCTTTATTATGTAAAACAAATAGATGCCATGCTTCTGTGTTTCTGTTCAGTAATATATCTTAGAAGACTTCTAGTGAGAATATCAGCTTTTTGTATCAGTTCAGTGATGAAATGTAAATTTAAGCTCTCTATTATGATGCAGCTTCACCGGCATGAAGGATACAGATGACAAGCCAAATGTATATAGCTGGAACCCTTGCACAAAATTCAAGGAGCCGGGCACTAATTGTGAAGATGCTTTGGTGAGTCATTTTAAATTTGATTTTGGATTAGATAAACCAGAATTTTGCAACTCTAGTTTAAATTGCGTACTCCTATGCAGTTACCTGCCGATTAGCCAGCTTGGAAAAAGAAAATAAAGGTAGTAGTTAATCTGCTAAATTAATCTGGCCAACGGTGGCACAGATTGACCAGATATCCTGTAGAATACAATCAAAGTTTTTGTAATGTTCAACTGGTAACCTTTCAGTCACCTGTTGGTGGCCTATTGAATAGGAGTCACGACAGTCGACCAACAATCAGTAGAGGGTAGTTGTTCTTCACAATTACCAATAAATGCATATATGTAGGAAGTCTGTTTTTTGATCTTTCTGTATTCCAGTACTATATATATCTACACCCTTTTTTCAAAAACAGTGCAGTTTGAAAAAATATGTATAATTTATACACCTTTTGCTTTCTCATGAAAAAGTTTCTCTTCTTATAGTATATATTATAAATATATTTAATTAAAAAAATATATATATTAATTGATTGCCAATCAAAGTATAGGGTGGGCAGGTATCTACCTTCTCCCCTTGAAGATAATTTTAGATTTTCGTTAATTAATGATAAAAACCCTGTTTTAGGTGCACAATTTTCTTAAACCAAAATTTGATGAGTGTTTGGTATAAATGACTGAATGATGATTGATAAAACCAGACTGTGGTATGTTATAAGTTTACGTTAGACTCTCCTTGCATTTCTTAAGCTACATTAATTTACTTATTAACCTGATTTCAAAAGTGTTGCATCTTCTTAGTGATTCTTAAGTCCCATTTTATCTTTTGCCTTTCTTTACATTTTGTTAGCTATGCCAGGAAACGCCTTATAAGGATTCTTACACAGTTGCAAAGGAAGTGAGCAGCTTTGATGAAAACAGTGATGGTAGCATAAATATAACATACACTCCATGTACTGTTCCGTCACAAAAAGATTTCATAAGGTAACTGGTCATGACTGAGAATTTACTTTGAGTTAGAAATCTGATATTATTTATAGCTCCCATTACCCATCAAAATATTGTGACATGCAAATCAAGGATAAGGTTATCCTGTGATAGCATTTACAAAAGCCGTCATGTGGCTTAGACTATGCATGTTACATGATTTCTTATGAAAGATTAATTGATTATTGTAGTATTACATACTGAGATTTACTCTCTGAAAAGACACAAAATAAATTTTCATTCATGACAAGAATTTGAGAGCCAATCAAATTGCCCATATTGCCTTTTTCATGTGTGAGGTAAACGTTACCTCTAATCATCTTTGACTTTAATTTTTTTATGACTGAATTGTCATTAAAGTCTGTTGGTAATGGTGTTTGGTTTGTATCGGAAATCTCACTTGTTCAATTATTTTATGATACTACCTACTTGTGTGTATTTTTTAAAAAATATTTACCATATGGGCAGACTTTCCATAGAATCACTGGAACACAAGTTAAAGGAAGCAATCTTGCCAAACTTTTCCTTGAGTTGGCTTCAGCTGAAAAAATTACAAAAATGACATATTCTATTGATTCAGGGCACAGGTATTCTCCAGCTGTCATAGGGACAGCTGTTGTTATGATCAAGTTCAGACTTTGGTTGGGTCTTTAATGCTGAGTTGAAATTTCAGTCTAAATACCTCAGCAATAAGGTGGGATTCAAAGTCACAGTTTAAATTAGAACACTCTTAACCCTTTAAATCCCAAGATCTAATTGTTAATTCTCCGCTCCAGCTGCTACATATTTCCTTGTAACTTAGTCATGAGAATTTGGTGTTAGATCAAGACAAAACCTCTACCTGATAAGTTTGAGAATTCTCATTATCTTTTTGCTGGATAAGAAATGGATATAAGGAGAAGTTACATGTTAATCACTCCTGGGAGTTAAAGGGTAAGGGCAATGAGGCAGCCTTCAGTCCATTTACGTTTATAAAGTTAGGTATGAATAATGGCAATTAAATGTTTTGTTTCTTCCCAGAGAAGCAATCATTGTGTTGATGTGTGACCATTCTGAAGATAGGGGAAAGTTTAGTCAATTCCATGAGCACAAAATCATTCTTAACAAAAAGTCATTATATGTAAGTACCAGGCCTATTTGGAGTGTATGTATGTGCGTCTATTGCCAATTGAGAAAGAGGGTCACAGTCCAAGGATTGAAATCACATGATGTTTCATTTCTGATATGGAGTAACAAGTCGCCATAACTCTTTCAGCTTCGTTTGTAGTGCATCTTTTTTTATTTTGCTGTTTTTTGTTTTGTAATGTTTATCTCAGACCTCCTTGTATTGTCCCTTCCTTTTTTTATTCAGATGTCTGTTTGGTTTAAACCTTTAACCTCCAATAGTGACTAGCATCTAAATACGCCTCACAAATCGTCCCTGAATCAAACATTGAGGTCATGAGAGTAAAGGAAATGACCACCAACTAAAGAGGCTCTTGATTGTTGAAAAGATTCTCCTCCTTGACATCTTAGGAAATGTTTAGAGAACAGTGTGGAGAATATGCATATTGATGTTAGGGTGCAAAGGGTTATAAATATACTGAACTGTTCTGGTTTCCTTTCTCCATAGACAGCAACGTTTTCTACCAAATATGCTTGTATCGAGAGTGGAGGAAGTGGAGGACTAAGTACTGGCAGTATTCTTCTCATAGTGTACGTAAGGCGACTCAGCATCCGTAACTCAACCTTGCAGCTTAGATCAAATTAAATGCATTTATGCAATGAATAAAGGGGTTAATTCTCTAACTAAAATGTGGTGCTGCGTCTTTGGGGAAGTGTAACAACTGAAGGTATTGATGACGTCATCATAAACAACGTTATTGAATTTAGGTACCATGTTGCTATGGATGTTTACATTTCATGTAATAGATCAAGGAAGACGCCAAAATGTTGTAAGAACTTCAGTAACACATTTGGCTGGGCCTCGTGTGCCACATTTTTGTTATTACCATATTTTGACGTCGGTTTATTACTAGACAGACATACGGAAACACGGAATCTCTTTGTTAAACAACCTTGTCTCCCTGGGGTGAACGGTGTTTCAAAATGGCATCGTTAGCAGTTTTGGAAAAATGTTCCGTGAATTCTGACCTTTCTGTTCAAAGGGATTCTGAGTCAAAATAATTCAATGCCGGCTTTAAGAATATTTAGTTTGGGGGATCTCTATAAGTAATGATGTTTGCTGTTTCTCTCGTAGGTTCTTTCCATTGGTACTGATCTATTTCATCGCAGGGTTGTTATATAATAAAATTCATAAGGGTGTTAGCAGCTTTCCTGAAATGATCCCTAATCATTCTTTCTGGGGTGATTTCCCATTTTTGGTTAAGGTGAGTCTAGAGTCTATGTTACGATAAGTGAAATCGTTAAAGTGTTTCCTTGTGTTGTTTTCTTTGTTTCGTTTGGGTCATTTAAACATATGTTTTCTATCAAGAGGGGTTCGACCTTCATAACGAAATTGCAGCCATTTGTATCGGAAATTTTATAGCCTCTTTATTTAAATCACTGGTAGCCCTCTAAAAAGGGCAGAGCAGTTGGACTAAAACCTCATTTTTCTCTACGCTGATCTTAAGTGTTGTTGACCCGTGAAGACTGATTCGTCACTTTTTACTTTCCGTTTCCCCTTTTCTGTTACAGGATGGCTGTGTTTTCACATTTCAAGGAATAGCTGGCTGTTGCAGACGTGTTTCTATGAAAGTCAAAGGGGACTCTTATGCTGAAATATAAGATTATATTTTAATTTCTTTTTCTTTTTTTTTAATTCAGTGATAACATTATGCGAATTATTATGTGACTTACGCGTTGGGTAATTTACGCTATAAGTTAAGACTTTTTATGCGTTGCTTTTGTGGTCTGCCTAGAAGATTAAGTTAAGGTTAAGGCAAAAAATGCCTTTAAACATTTTTTTTATAGCTCAGTGGCCCCGCTTTTGTTCATGCTACTCCAGTCTTACGGAACTCGTTGCCGTTACCAATCAGATTTTGTAGCAATCTTGCTACTTTTAAGAATCAACTCAAAATATTTCTTTTCAGGAGAGCGTTCAGTACTCGTTTATAATGCCCAGTTTAATGTAATTGTTTTTGGATATATGCATAGTTTTAGCGCCATATAAATGCTTAATTATTATTATTATTTTTATTTTTATCATAATAATTATCATTATCGTATCATTATTATAATTATTAGTAAAAACTAATTAGGAACCACTCATTATCTATTGCGGGGGAGGAGACCGGAGACTTTTGGTTGTGTCACAACAAAATTTGCCTTATCCTACCTTTCCCCCCCCCCCATAGGCTCTTTGTGATCTAATGATCTCCTCTTATTGGCAGTGACGTTTCTATAGTCCACCCTTTACACTCTGTTCTCGACGACAGATTGCCTCGCCGTTCCCCCTAAAAACCATTTGATCCCCCCTCCCCCAAAAAAATCTAGTACCCCCCTTTTTCCGTGCGATAAATAATGATTGGTCTCTTAGGTAAGAGAGTTTGTGAACATGGCCTACAACAAGCGTAATACGCGCCTGCAATGTTTTCTTTGGTCGTTTATACGCGAGACGTGTTTAGCATTGCCGTTGTAGTCTGCCGAACAGATAAGTTAGTGATCAATTGGTAGAAAGCACGTGTCCTCTTGTAGATATTTTTAGAAAAAACGCTGGTTTAGTCGGAGAGCACTGAAAAAATGAAAAACTAAAAGAAATTTCATGATTTCAGTGTATTCTAATCAACGCCAGTGAGATAAATGCTTTGGACCTTTTGATTAAAACATTTAGCATTTAACGCAATTAGGGTTGTTAATGTCGAGATTTTTAACCGAAATTGCTAGACTGATTCATGCGGTCTCTTCTTTAAAATTATAATTTAAACTTCTATAAAAATTTTTGTAACAAATCTAAAATGTAGTTAAATTCTTTCAATAATTTTTGCAGTAAAGCGAACGATGGATTTTATTTGGACATGGTTCTGTTGTTGTGTGCTTTCTCCTGATTTAATTTTTCTTTCCTTTTTCTCTGGTATATGTAATGATGAACTGAATTACGCACGTGTCTTGATTGGTTCTCATGATCTATTGGAAGACAGATTACATGATATTATACAAATAGATCCCATGTTGCCGAGGGTACAGTAATAGATCACAAAAGACGTTGAAGTGTGGTAAGTATATCAGTGACACACTCGGCTTCGCCTTGTGTGCTAATTTGTTTTATTCTTGCCCATTTTGACGTCATCTGTAATGTGTAATCTATTACTGAACAGGGCAATTATCAACTGAGTTGCTAACGTAAATTGGCCGGGCGTGCGCATAAGGGTTCTAAAGGGAGAGACCAAATTCTGCCATATCTACCTACACCAAATCTTATACCCCACCTCGTGGGTTGTTAACAAGGTCGATGACAGAGAGCTCTTTTTTCACATTCGAATCGCCCCTGAAACGATCAAATAGCGTCCGAAATAGGTGGGAGTGAGGGTGCCATGCCATCTTGGCCAAAGTTACTTCAAACAGCACTCGGATAGGACGTCAAAATGACGGTCAAGTTCTAACATATTCCAGTTTTAATATACATTAAAAAATATGCACGCAATAAATGGTCACAAATGGTCCCGGTTCCCAAAACACGAGAAAGGTTGGGGAAAAGAGTAAAATTTTACCGAGGGGGTGGTAGACAGGCTAAGATCAAACATGGCGGCTCGATCCGAAATCTGTCAATAGTTCTTTTAAGTTATTAACCAGCACCTCCTAAGGAGATTAGATGGCAAATACTTCAGCGATATAATGACGAAAATGCGCAGCAACGTTATAAGAATATTGATTGTTATTTCGCTCGCTGCTATAACACACGTTGTGGCCGAGGTATGTGAAATGTTAGACCAGTGTTCGTGCAGGAAGGAAAATGGGAAGATCATTAGTTTATGGGACATCGATGGAGGTTCCAAGGAACCAGCGTAAGTAATACAAGTCCTTCATTAATATCAGATATTTTTTGAAAAATGATTGATAGAAAATTACAGAGGTAAAGAAGTCGTAAATAACCATAAATGTCTCTCGCACTGCACGTTGTCAAGTGAACGTTGAATGTCAAGGTTCGCCCGATTATAAAATATTTTAAGGTCAGAATGAAATCGAATTGGTGATTAGGAAAGCAAAGTTTTGAATTTATCATGGTGGAAAGCAGAGAAAAAGCTTCGCTCACTAGTAAACATATAAGCAAAACGCTAAGGTCACGCACATTTTAGGTTAATGCGCTATCGTTTGTCACGCAATCCTTTTGGATGACTGTTGTCACGCTTGTCCTCCTTTCTTTCTCATACAGTAAATCACTCCCACGGCTGGATGTGTCTTTTTGTTATTTGTGAATGTACAGAGCTTCATAAGAGTCTTTGGTAAATTCATGGAATTTTGGGAACTAAAAAATAAAATGACGTGTAGGAAGGAGGGAGGGGTTACATCCTAATCAGTTAAATTATGACGCAGATGTGCTGTAATCCCTAAACTATGATTAGATCGAGTGCTTTTAGTCAATTTAGTCGAGTATCTATATTTCCAATAAATGAACGGTGGTCACCCAATTATTTGCTTGAAACTATCTTCAATCCTGGTTATAATTGTTGAAACATTTCTCCTTCCTCTTTCAAAGACGATTAAAGAAAAATTTGACCGCCCAGAGAAAGTTCGTCATTTAGAGAGGAGCCGGGTGACTAAGCAAGGTGACTAAGCAAGGTGCTCATTTTTTCTCCTTTTCAGCTTCAAAGGCCTTGTAGTTCTGAGCCCTCCGGGTGTTGTATACAAATTTGATTGGAATCCATGTACGAAGTTTAGTGCAGGAGCTGGATGCTCAAATGTGTTTGTGAGTACATTTGAGAATATGAGAAGATAGTAAGGGATCGGTCAATATTTATCCCTGGCGGGGGGAGGGGGTAAGGGGGATCAGACGATTTTGATTGTGTCGTGATAAAATTTTCCTGATTCCTCCAATAACAAGAAATTATATTTTTTTGCCCTCCCCCCCCCCATTGGCGGTTAATTTGTAATCAAATTATTATAATTTCTCGTTATATTCTATTGATGACGACTGATCCCCTCGAAAACCATGTGATCTTACTGAAATCTCCAAGGCTATGAATGATGACCGGTTCCAAAATCAATCAATCAATCAATCAATCAATCAATCAACCAACTCATAACCCACCCATCCCTGCTCTCCTTCCTTTCTACCATCGGTCGCTTCCCTGGTACAAATTTATTTTTCTCCCCAGCCTTCCCTTGCTGTTAAAATATAAAAGATGACAGCTCTAATTTTCAATAAGGAGGTAGTAAACACTTGCTTGCTTAAACCACGCTTGCTCTGTAGGCTAATGTGGCATAAATATTCTTGTCACTGAGCGTTACGACGGCGGTAGCTTATTTTCACACAGTAAATAAGGAATGATTGTGAATAAAATCCCTGGCAGGAAAAGGTCAATAAACGAACTGAGGTTCGCACATTTACTTCATTACACTGTAAATCGTGTATAAGCTCGCAATCGTTTATCCGGAGTTAGAGTTAGAGTGGACGGCTTTGGAGGGAGTTGAAAAGACGATTTCTATTACCGCAAGTTGGCAAGGTGTTACTCGAATCGCACTGCGCAAGTCAGCTTGAATCAGAGTTATTAGCTTCATCGCGACCAGTTATCAGGATTTTATTAAATGACAGCAACAGATTTATCTTTGCTGTCCCCAGTTACCTCAGTCTGAATGGAGTTAAGTAAGGAGTGTAGAAATGAGAGTCCAAAAAAAATTTGACAAATTAAAGTTTTTCTGGCTGAGTTATAGGTGTTCAAGGCAGAAAAGGTTTTGCTTTATTTTCTGCTTCAATTTCGTTTTACTTACAAGGAAGTACATAAGTTCAGAATCAAACGATTTGCACTCTACAATACATTATATACATTACTCACAATGGTTTGTGGCATCGTTTACAATGGTCCCATAACAACCATAAAACAATCATGTAACTTTCAGAGAAAAATTGAACACCGCACACAGAAGCTGACAGTACTGAAAATACTTGCAGTGCCCAAACTTGCAGTATTTACAATATTTAACTGCTTGATAACTACTGGCGCCAGTAGTAACAAGTAATGAGAACAAATACTCGCAGTACTGAGTGGTAATGATGAAAATATTGCACAACTTTTAAAACTTATTCTGGATACTTAATTTATGATTAATTAATTGAAAGCCAACAAGTATAACACTTAAAAATAGTACCAAACAATCGAAATAAAATACCGAATAAGGACATTCAAATATAGAATCTTCGCTGATACACTTCTAAATTCGAAAGGAAAGTATAGTAAAGCTTTGGAAAAGCAGGGGGAAAACGGAAAATAACGGCCTGGAAAGGATATACAAGCTTAAGTTAAAAGCATAATTTTTTATGAAAATTATTAAGTTACAAACTATAAAAGAAAAAAAATGTATCAATCCTTTGTTATAAATGCTTTATCCTAAAAAAAAAGAGAAAAACAGAAAAAACCCTTTCACTTGCTATTATTTGCCGCTTCCTTAACAGGGTGTTTTAGAGCCAATACAAACAAATCGGAAACTAACACTTTGATTAGAGGAAGTGGTTAAAAATCCCAACCGGTCAGAGGCAAACCACTTGGCTTTATTCAAAGCGCAAGCAAGGAGTTGAACTCGGGGCAACCGATAACAAATGCAGTTGTACCCTGGACCATCAGATTACAAGTTTATCACAATAACTATTCGGCAACACAGACTCCTCGTTTCTCAGCTATGAAAATGTAAATGTATAGCCAGTTAAGTTAACCGTTCTCATTTCAACCTTAGCCGATTAAAGCAATGCAAAATGCGATGAGACAATAACGTCAAAATCAAACCTTATTCTTGGTTGGATCTCAATGATTTATGTGAGATGTTCCTGAGATCCGAAGTAGCAGATCGACTGGGGTGATACGGTTGTGAGCACAGCAAAATACTTGTACTAGATCTTCTCTAAATCCTGGAATCCGTAGAGCGTAGATTGGGGGATTCAAAAGCGAGTTGGCCACGTATGTCATTAGTACAAATATATCAATATAAAAATTCTCTCTCTCTTTTAGCACACTCCCTCGAATGGAAATGGATTTACTAGACCAGTCATAAGTTTGCTAAATTCGCACGGCCTGGACCATTTTCCGCTTTGCGAGGGCTCCTCGAGCGCGCGTGAACAAGCAATCACTGCTACCCACTTTGTACATTGTCCTTTGGACTCGGGCGATCACCGATCGGCCTTGAGGTGTCTTTAAAATTTGGCCTTAATGTTCACATAGAATAGATGGCTAATTATTAATAACTGTAAACTATTAGGCATTATAAAATAATTCAAATAGTACGCTCGCTCTGATTGGCCATAAAACCATTTTACATGAGCGTATGTAAACACGGTTTTCGTTCCTCTTTCATTAGTTATTTTACTATTTTACTCGATAAGCTGGAAACCACTCCGCTTCGCGTCGTGGTTTCGTGGTTTCCTACGCTTATCTCGTGTTCTCCCAACCTCCCGCGTGTTTACATCAGGCTATGTAAACACGGAAACCATTTTACATTTCTTCAGTATTGTATTAAATATGATTAACTCTCTAATCAAATCTTCTTTTCTAGATGTGTGAAACAACGTCCTCTAGCCCATATGCCAACTCTGTAAACAAATTTACAATTGAAAGTGATGGAACAACCAACATAGTTTATAACAAAATTGGAGGGGGTGACCACGAAAGGTATGCTTATTTCAATATTATCTTATAGCGAGAATTTCGAAAAATAAGCTAGTATTTCGAAAGCCTCAGGTTTTCGTGGTTTCGTTACAATTGTTTGTACCTTCAGAAATCTTTTACATTCTAGGGAGGTTACTATCAATCTTAAGTGTGACAAAAACAAATACCCGGGGGAAATGGATGGCATCTCCATAAGAGGAACAACTGCAGTAAGTTCTATTGTCTCCTTATATGAGATTCGATGATAAGAACTCGTCTTTAGATGTTCGACGTCTTTTCTTTCTTCTTTGTGTCGTTCTTTTTTCTGATATTCGCTCTTTGTATTTCTTTTGTTCTTTACTTTTATTTATTCCTATTCCTTTTTCCGTGGTTCTCTCAAGAAACAATTCAACGTATGCATGCTTACAGTGGCAATGTCACCATTTTCAGTTGCTGTGTGAGTGAGTATATATATATATAGTAGAATGTATTTCTTATCACTTTACCCATTCTACAGGAGAGAATGTCAAAGAAGCCGAAACGTTTATCTGGCCTCAGTTTGTGTTAGGTTGCTTTTCGATTGAGGGCAGTCAAATTATTACGAATTGTAATGAATAGAGAATAATACATGGGCGCGCGTAGATATGGAATTTATCTCTGAGTGTTTAATTCGATAGCTCACGAGTGAACGCAGCGAACGAGTGAGATGTCGAGTTGAACTCGAGAAGGGAAATTTCATATCTACAAGCAACCATGTATTATTTTGTTTATTATATGAACACAACAGCCCTTTACTGACAAGAATTCAACTTTATTAACGAATGAAAATAAAAGGATTGACAATTCCCGAATAAAAATCGTTCAGTACGTTGGCGCTAAGGCTCAAGCTGAAAAAAGCGGTGCAACGCTACAAAAACAAACAGTGGGCGTAATTTTCAATATACAAAATTCTCAGCTATTGACTTGGTCCTTACCGATAGAAGAAATCTTTCGGGCACACGGCCAAAATCGTCTAGAGGCAAATCTTTCAGCTGTCGATTTTCGTTCTCAGCCGAGAGAAATGCCACTACCAAAGCCATTGAATAACGTATCTTTCGGTTTTTCTTTCCGTATTTTGGTTTTCTTCCTCTACTAGGAGAGTTTGAACGTCACTGTCTGTAAGCGATACTGATTTTTCAGTGTTTTGGCAGCCATAATCCACAAAAATTTTCGACAAACGATCTTGGATTGAGAATAGTGAAAGCTTCGCCGTTCATCCCTCAATCTGACCGAATGGCGCGAAAGGCGAGTGACGTGTCAGCAGCTAATTGGCGATATCAAGTACTCGCGAAAAAATACGATATTTTTTTACGTGTGTTGTTAAATCCATAGTTTATAGGATAATCACCACGCCCATTGGGTACATAAGAGAAACACTACAAGGAACCAGTGAGAAGTCAAAGGGGGGTTGGTTTTAGTTTTGCATCTGTTCCCTGAGGAAGATGAGAGGAACGTTTTTAGTCCAGTCAAAGAGCATTAAGAGACAAAACCAATGTAATCCTGAACAACTTTTAACATTTGATTGGAAATTGTTCTATGGCTTATTCGGTTGAATATCGCACCTTTTTAGTCAATCACGTATTTAAGGGCTAAAGTGCAGTTTAAGGAACAAATACTGGGTCAAGAAAATTTTGCCAGTTGCTAAAATTTGTCCTTTCATGCATTGTAAGATTGTGCAAAGCAAAATTGATTGACGAGTATTTATGATAACGCACTGCGCGCAGAGGCATAATTGTAAAATATTTACCTGCGTTCAGTTGTTCAAAGGGCGGATGACGCTCTCCGACGCATAACTAACCAGCAGAGAATAGGTAACAAAACGTACTGCACTATCCGCTGGATAGGGATTTAATCAGCGTATAGCGCTATCCACCCTTCGAACAAACTGGAGCTGATTGTTTTGTTTAACTTCCTTTCAATCTATCCTTATCGTGTTTCTTTTATTCGCAATCCTTTTTTGGAAATAAGAAAATGAATTACGATACAACAAGCTTGAAGTAAGTCGATTCCGATTTTTTATTGCCCCATTTTTTCTTTCTTTCTTTGTCTTTTCTTTATTTTTTTTGCTTGCATCGCCTTTTATCCTGCAACTGCCTGCCTTCTTTTCTTTTTTTTTCTTCTTTCGCTTGTTTGATTAAGAAAAGTCAAAGGGAAATCTTATTTAGCTGTATTTCCATTCATAGTCTACACGCCTAACGTCCAAGTGCGCTTGTGAAGATAGCTGCCCTCATCCTGATTTTAGTATAAAAAACGGGCTCAGCATTGGAAGCATCTTGTTGATAGTGTAAGTGCATACTATTGTTGATCCTATGACTGTAGCTTCGATTCCATTTATGGAAGTTCAGTTCGTACCTGGTGGTGTCCGACGCTCCATTGCAGTCGCGCTAATTTTACGCACAAACTGATCTCAATGTGTGTAAACCTATAAATCATTAATCGTTGAGCAGGGGTGTCTGCATATGACTTCAAGATCTATTTGCTATGTTGAAATATGCTCCACTAATTGGCATTGCTGTGGTGAAAATAATATTAGTAGCAATAGAATTCTACCTTGCTGACGAACTCAGTTATGAATGTCTAGTCGCCATCAGGTGATGTACGCGTACCAATCAAGGAGGTTATCGTGAATTATATAACCCTCAAATGGAGATATCGTGGGCTGTGGTTAAAAAACCAGTACTCAAAGGGATCCCAATGATTATTTTGAGGGAGGTTGTGGATGTGTAGGCTAGAAATTCCCAGAGAGGTGAATTTGAAGTTTATACTGTCATGAAGTATTAACATAGTTTATAATTATAGTTAATAATTTAGTTTGTCATTTCACTATGATTTAATCTTTCGTTTATATTAAGATTGTATTTAACGTATGAATTAGATTTCCGAAGTTGTATGGGTTTTGAGCTGTCGTGATGAGTTTCCGAATTGTAACAACCTTGGCTAACTTCCTTAAGTGGACGTGCTTAGTCTGTTTACTGACTTAGCTTCTGACCCACACGAAAGTTCATGTTTTGGCTGAACGCAGGCAGAGGTTGATCCAGTTGATCGGAAGTGTTGATTAAGTACTTTGTTGTTCATTACGAAAGTTGTTTGGTTTAGTGTTTTAACAGGAAATGTTTAATCTCCCAAGGTCAGCCAGCGGGCATGACCACCCATATCTATCAGTAGTGAATATACAAGCATGATGTTCTTTAGAGCTAACTTAGGAGAGAGGAGAGAAGAGAAAGAGAGCATACTAAAAGAATGTAGACAGTGTGCAGAAGAGTAGCGTCAGAATTCTGTAGCTGAAGAAGAAGTCTTCAGTGAGAATCAGTGTGAGAGCTTAAGAGATTCACCAGAGTTACACAGAATGAAATAAGCTTATATGGTAGAAGATTTGTATACTGGAGAACCGAGTAATGAAAGAAAAAAGTGAAAAAGACAGTTTGAGAGTCTTGATGCCTTTTGCCGAATGCTAGTTCCCGCCCGAAATTTAATAGTCTTAACAATACAAGAAAGCTCTACATCCTGCAAATTTTTTTATCTTTATCTGTGATAGGTTTTTTCCATTACTTCTACTGTATTTCATGGCTGGTTTATTATATAATAAATTCCACAAGGGTGTTAACAGCTTTCCTGAAATGATCCCCAACCATTCTTTTTGGGGCGAATTTCCAGTGTTAGTTAAGGTGAGTCTGTGATATGGTCATTAAAATGGTTACGGTACGGATGTCTGATTTTCTTAAAGTTCATGTTTGTTTGATTGTTTTTATTTTTGATGTACTCTCTGGAAAGGACATTTTTAATTTTTTTTAATTTTGTATTTGTCAAGAGATAAAGAAAGAGAAAGGAACCAAGGTATTTCTTCTTTGTTTGCTTTTACAGGATGGCTGTGTTTTCACTTTTCGAGGAATAGCTGGCTTTTGTCAACGTTTGTTCTTGAAAGCTAAAGGGGACTCCTATGCTGAAATTTAAGAATATCGTTTCTCACGTCTTTTTTTAAAATAACTACATAATGAAAAAATTATCGATAAATGGTAAAAGAAATGACATATTGGTTATAAAAGTTAAAGTAAGATTCTAATGAATGGCGAAACAAAAGGCTAGTTTCTGAAATAGTACGTGATCTTTATTAAGTATTTCGTAAGGAAAAACTTCTAATATTTTTTTAATAAATGATATACTGAAGTACAATGGTGTGGTATATGGTAGCGATTAATCAACTTCTCTGTCTGCAAGTGTTCATGTATTTCACAGCATTGTGCTCTCTTGGGCGCAGAGCAAAATTCTTTCCACTTTAGGAAGACTGGAATATTCGTAATGGGACAAGGATGGCAAATGATGGAGAAGATTAGCAAGGATTGCTAGTGAGGAAATTGAAAACTTGTGGCTAAATCTGTTCAGTGTCACGCAGCTAATCCCCTGAAATGTAGTTAACTCGAGTGGAAAGTATCAACTGCAATGTCATTTCTAAAGGCAATTGCACTAGAGTGTTTCTTTCCCTTTCTATGACTTTGGTTACGTTTTCGTATCATTTTTTTCCTTTTTTTCTTATTTAGGACGGCGCTCTGTTAACTTGGAGTGATTTGAAATCTTCATTTTCCTTTTTTCGTCAGAAGCGCACAAAGGAGAGTTAGGATGAATTAACATGGAATCTGTAAAGTTAATAAACCTACCACTAATAAAAGCAAATAGTGCATCATTATTCTTAAGAAAAATTCAGCTTCGATATTAAATCGCTATTAAATCGTTTATAACAATAGAAATAATCAATAATTGTCGACCACTCTCCTCACCAACAAAATATATATCTGATATCTTATTGGAAGCCATAAACATTTGAAGGAAAGTTAATTTTTCGGGGGTCATCAGAACCTCTCTTACCACCGTAACAAACTAAATATTTTCGTCACGGAGTTTATATTAACGGTCTTCTTTTAGATCCTTTATCCCAGAACGTCATTGTATTGGGATTTCTTTACACTTCAATAATGATTTAAATGCCCATTTAATATTAATCTTATCATAACACCAAATACTTAGAGGCAGAAACGGAAAACATTCCCCCATTACTACGGTAGTGTCGTTTTACATGGTGCAATTTCTAAGTGATGACGAAAAAAAATTGTGAGATTGCATTGTTTTTGCTTTACTTCGCTCTTTGATACATGTAGGTTCAAAACATTTGCGCCGCTCTCTCGACCAATCAGATGCAAACATTAAACGAGTTGGTCGCCCGCGTTTTCCCGCGCTTTGGGCAGTTTGGTTGCTTTTTAACTCAGGTTCTCATTGGCTCTTGAAAGTATCTTCCTTTCTTCTGATAGGCCGTTTTGATTACTTTGATTTCGGTTTTGTGACTCAATCGAAAAACGCTCTGCCGCAGTTTTTTTTATTTATGTATTTATGTTTTTAATTTTCTTATCAAACAAAGAATTTCGTATTGTAGACGGCATTCAGTAGTAAAAGATGACGACAAAAACTCACATTTTACTCATTGCAAGACCCACTTTTGTAATAAGCTCTCTAATCTGAAAACCCAAGAAATTGTAACTCAAGCCACAAAGATGCTTTTTTCCTCTAACAGCATTTTAAGTTGTTGTGTTGAACTGAGCTCGCAAGGATATCAAGGGCACAAACATCGTCGAGGAATGGCTCAACCTAAACAGGGAAGGGAAAGGAGTTAAAGCAAAAGGAAAAGAAGCGATTCGTGCTTTCGTTTTCGTCTGCCGCGGCCCAGGGAAGGTAGGAACAATTAGATTTTTTCAGGTCCAAACAGATAGTTATGTTGGCCCCTACTGAGTTTAGTGTGAAGTCCTAAAGGTAAACATAAGTGGAGTGAAATGAAACGATTTCGGACTCGATCGAGTCCCTATAGAAATATTAGTCGCTGTTCAATCGATGATTGTTAGTCTTTTACGGCGAAAAGCATGAAAGATTAGCTGCTTTGAGCCGGTTTTACACTCAAGTTACAATGTATGGATATGCTGTGAACAGCAAAGCGCAAAAAAAGAAGATTGTACGAAAGCGAATAGAATCAATCACAAGAGTGTAGCAGTGTCGAGGCTGCCTCGATCCGAAACATGTCTTGAAGTTAAAAGATATCTTCAATAGCTTTCAGTAGCTCGTATAATTTGACATGTACTGAATATAGTTGAATTTGGGCCCTCCCGAAGCAGTTTGTTTCATGGTTTTAAAAATTTATCCTCCCTCTCTCTTCACCCCCCTACCCCCATTCGTAAGCATATATATAGAAATTTGTGTTCAGATTATATCACTAGACTAAGTAAATTTATCTAGGAAAGGGAGTTGAAATAGTTCAATAGTTCAGTGTGACTTCTTTTATGAAAGAAGAGAAAAAAAATGGTTGAGAACAGAAACAAAAGCAGACAAAAGTAACGTAATGTACTTGCAATAATGTAAGAAAATATTCTTCATTCAGAAAAGTTTCTTTCTTTCGATCTCCGTTTTTTGTTTTGGTAAACGTCGTGATATTATTGCCATTGACATGTGACTCTGCTTTTGACGAGGGGATTCCAGCTACGTCCTTTAACTGCATTATTCTTTTTCAGCCTATGATTCAATAAGAATAATTTATTATGAATATGATAATAATAGAATTGATAATTGTAATAATACAAACAATGATAACCATTACAATTTACTAAAATGCGAATATATGCTTTGAATCGTAATGAAAGGGTTTTCTCGTTGCACGTTGTAATTTTGCAAAGAATTTATTCTGATACTCAGAACTTTCTAGATTCTTTTCCCACACTTTGCGTCGTACAGAATCTTTAATTTTTTTTTTTTGAAAATACACGACATCGTTCACAAGATTATATTTGAGTCAAGTCCGACTAAAGACGACTGATTACTTTGTCATTGTCACTGATTACTTTGTGTACCCTGGCATTAGTCTCAAGACTCTAAAGGGTGAACAAGCAGCCCTAATTAAACAAATTTTTACTGTATTAACTCTCAGATTCATTCGGATTCCATTTGAATTTACTTGCGACAGTTCATTGCTTCAAACCAATGTACGCGTCCCTTCCGCTGCTTCCGCTGCTTTCTCTTACAGACAGAGTAATCTGCCTGTCTTAATCAGCGGATTGAAATTAAGCGCATGGGAAGGCTTACGCACATCACTTGACAACGTTTTGTTTAATTCAGAGCGACGAAGCCGTAATTTAAATCGAAGAAATGCCATGCTTGCAGTAAAAAGTACTCATCAAAGCTGTGTGGTACTTCAGAAGGAAGTGATTACCCACAGTTTGATTATTTGATAAGTTTTTGATGCGCAGTTTCTCAGGTACAGAAATTGATCCAACAAATGTATGTTTAAGACTGCAAATGATGCGTGGGTGAGCGTCTCAAATGAAGAAAGATCTGACTGATGAAGATTTATTTGTTCATTTGAAGTTCGTTGTCCGATGTTATCAAAACAAGTTTAACCGACACATTTGAGTTCTAGAGTGTCGAAGTGACTTGCATGCGAAGTTGGGTCATTTAAGAACGTTAACAATTTCCTATAAAAATACGAAACCTCCGAGTCATTGTAGCTAAAGTGAACTGAGATACAAGATGTAAATGACGAGTATTCTTTGCCTTCGCAAAGCTTTATCGTCAAGTACGACAGATGATATAGAAATAACTTGATTGAAAGTCTTTCTCGAGTATCGATCAAGCCGGGAATCAAACTCCTGAGAGAAGATAAAAACCACGACATTACTTTTATTTGCGGCAGTTGCTCAGGCTTATAACTTGGCTAATCCCGACAGTGTTAGAGAAATCTCCGAAAAAGAAGGTAATACCCCTTTTTCTATATTTACGTCTGTTTCAGTACACTTTCCAAGCCTCATCTACATAGAAATAGATGTAGCTTGTAGTCGGTAAGACGGTCTTTTAACTCTGTTTTTAGAGGAATACTCATTAATATAAACCAACAACTGCATAATTGAAACTCGAGATTAAATCCCCCTTTTTTTCTCTGACATTTATTTAAATTAGAAACTTGTCCATGTTAATTTGCGTAAGTAAAAGGGCTTTTGGCTGATATTTATTTTTGTGCTGCTTCTCGAGATTCATATATGTCATGTAAATATTAGAGATGTTAGTCCAAGAATGAACATTGCCTTTTCTTGCATTACACGTAAAGTGCCCTGAGAATTGCAAGGCTATTGAGACATTCCTGACAGATCATTTAAGAGAATTATAAAAAAAGAAAAAAAAAACACGATGAAGATTGAGTACTTTTCTCTTTGCTTTTGAACTGATGCTTGTCGATTTAGTCGCGAAAACAGACACACTTAAAACAGAAATTAAAACATATGGAGCACCCACCTGCCCCAGTTTCACGTAAGATCATCGCGTTCTTAAAAAAACTAAAAGCCTTTACGCGTTCTTAAAAAACTAAGAGCCTTTACGGTGATAACATGAAGTCACATGCCTGAATTACATTTTTGTATTATATTTCCACGAGAAGTATCACGCAAGCTTCGACTTTGAGGGCTATTCTGGTTTCCTCTCATAATTACACTGGGCTACAGTTTTTAAGACAGAGTGTGACCCACATAATTTAACTTCCCGTCGAATCACAGTTCGCAGTTATTGATTTAAAATTTTAAAAAAAATTTAAAACACTGAATGCTTACGACTAGATTTAAACGAGTCTTGTATGCTATTTACTTGAACTCTTTAACGGAAGATCCCACCCATTCCCTGCACCGTGAGTCCCTACAATTATATTATAAAAATATTCCGACATAATGAAAAATTGTTGTTCTTGTTGCTTTAGTTACTTGCACTAAACACTCAGAAAGAAAGAAATTAGTACCAAAACCATAGCCACGTAGACGTAGAAGTAATGCAAAACTATATTATTTCAGCATGTCCTCACCATGTTAATTTTTTTTTCACTACAAATGAGATTTACTGCTGTGTTTAAAAGTTACATAAAACTTCCTAGAAAACAAAGA